GTTTCTTATACAATCGTATCATATTCTTGCCGGTGGCCTGAACGGAAACGTCTCGTGCCTTCTAGCCACTCCCACGCCTTTTACCTGGAGCCATCATGACCGTCGATCGGCATTAGCGTGTTGGATCAAGCTTGCGTGTGCACGAGTGGGTCCGGCATCTGTTGGCAACATTTTTTGGGGTCAACGGAATGTATTGTTAAAAAATAATTAATAATTTTGAATTTGTTTGTAATATTATTTTATTAAAAAATGTGTAATTGTAAATAAGAACGTGTGATTGTAAATAAAAAAGAGAAATGCATTTTCGGAAACTTTGTTATTTGGAATGAATCAACAAACTTTACCGAGTGAAAATAGAGATAGAAAAATAAAAAGTTCATTGGTTTATAAGATACTATACTCTTTAAATTTTAAATATATTCTGTATTATGATCGAGATGCTCTTAAAAAATAAAAGGTCTCTTGAAGATGCAAAAAATTGTTCTTAATACTCCAATAATGCCAATAATGTATTAAAGATTTTGTGGGATTTAATCGATCAAATTTCGTAATATTATAAATGCCTCGACTTCATAGCCCACTTACAAGTTCAGAATAGTGCTTAAATCCTTCATACCAAACGTGCTAAATAAATTTGCCCACCCACTTGCGTGCTGATTTAAAAGTAAAATCAAGTAATGAAACAAATGCAAATTAAGGAAAGCAACCAGAAATTACCTTCGAGAACTTCAGCAGATACAAATGCAATTAGAGTTGAACAGACATATTGTGGGAAAAACAAGGGATTATCAGCCGGAAGCTCAGAACTATTCCCATACATTACCATAATTTCTGATGCCAATAATAAAACTTGCCTGCATAAAGGTACATTGTTGTGAAGTGTTTCTCCTTCTCCGGCTACATAGATTTCTTGACAGCCACGGCTGAGCAGCATCTGCTTCCTTCTCGCTGCTCAAAACGTGAATGAAGTGTTTCCCCTTCTCCGGCGACATAGATTTTGTAATGGAAAACTGAATGAAGTCTAATCTTCCTATGAACTCCGTTCATTTCATGTCTGTTAGACAAATTTGTTGTCAAACGACTTCTCTGGACGATGATGTAAGTATTGTTTTTTATTCAGTCGGCCTCGACCAAATGACTAAATATGTTTCGACACCACAGTTGACTAAACTTATCACGTAATCCACTTGGGCCATTTGAAGTAACATAATTATATTAGGAGGAAATTACACCTAAACCTGGATTTAAAATACCATTTTCAAAAATCATGAATCAAGTTTCATTTTACAAAAATCAGGTTTTAATTAATAATTTAAAATCTTTTTTTCTTATTTTTATTTTATACTAATCAAACCCTAAAACTAATTCATTTGAAAAAAGCACTCTCTCACCGTCTCTCCATTTTCTCCCCACACGGCGCCTGCGCTGCCCCCACCGCCCGCCACATCCACCGTCCCTCTATCTTCTCTCTTTCCTCTCTGCGATATCGTTGCCAGCTTGGTGAAGGTGAAGCAGTGGTGTCGCGCGCCCAGATCTGTTTTCTGTCTTCTCTCCCTCACTGCATTGTTGGCGCCCAGATCTGTATTTTTTTTTAGTTTTCGTCTTTTTCCTCATTGCGATGTTGCTGCCGGCTTGGTGAAGGTGAAGCAGTGGTGTCGCGTGCCCAGATCTGTTCTCTGTCTTCTCTCCCTCACTACGTTGTTGGCGCCCGATCTATTTTTTTTTATAGTTTTCGAGTTTGATTTGTCGGATGGTTGTGGTGGTTACAGATCTGTTAGGTGCGTGTGGGTGGCAGTGGTGCGGTTGGGTGTTGGTGCGTGAGGCGATGGTCGTTGTTGGAGTGGTGTTGAGATCATGGTTTTTGTTGTTGTTGGAGCAGTGTTGAGAAACGGTTGTGTTGGTGTTGGTGGCATCGTCGTCGCCGCCGGCTTGGTNTGGATTCAATACGCTGTGACGAGTAGAAGCCGTGTGACATAAGAATTACTAATTTGTGACCAATAAGTTGATATTTGTGACCATAAAATAAGTAACGTAACTTTTAAATTTTGTAATTGTGACCGATGAACAAATTGTGACTTACAAATTTTTAAGTTGTGACCGATGAACAAATTATGACATATGAACTTTTTGAATTGTGATCTAAAAAGCGGCGGAACGGTCATCGGAATACTCGTCGGAATCGGACCAGTATCCGGAAGGTCATCGGAAAAGTCGTCGGAAAGAGTGGTGATCGGAAAGTTTGCCGGAATAGTCACCGGAGCTATATGGGTAGTGGAGGTGGGGTGAGTTAATTATATTATATTAGAATTAAATATTTAATAATAAATTGATTTAATAATTATTATTTTCATAAATAAAAATTTAAAAAAACCTGATTTTTGAAATCTGAAACTTGTTTTTGTATTTTTGAAATTGGTGAAAGTAAATACCTGATTTATGTATTGTTCCCTTATATTAGTGTTGCTCATGGCCCAAGCTAAATGACTTGGATGGCTTTAAGGTGTTAGCCCACTTAACTCTTTTATATTGGGCCTATTATTTGACCTAAAAGCCCACATCTACCCTAACATATTTTAATACCCTGTCCATTACTGTTTGGAGTTTGAGGCAGTCGTGTGTTTTCTAGAGAAGAACATATTCTTTCCCTTCATTTGCTTTGTGCTCTTGACGGCTTGGTGCCTTCCTTCGTTGGACAATCCGTCTCTCTCTTTTTCTTTTGTGGTTGGCATATCTTTAGGCCTTAATCTCTTTCATCCTCAAGCTCTTCATGGGCTGAAAACATTGGGGCAGGCGGTTCGATTTTGGGAAGGTGTTTGGTTTGTGGTTTAGTTGGTTAACTGTGGTGTTCGATCGATACTAAGCCCGGATATTGGTGCAAAGTGCGCGTGATTTTCCTCACGTTTGGTATCAGAGTTGGAGTTGGATTGAAATCCGGTGAAATCGACGAAAGAGAGGAAGAGAAGCTCACGGGTTTTCAAAGAGATCGAACCTATCTTTTCAAATTTTGGCCAAACCATTGATCGGCCGAACAAATTAAAGGCAGACCCATTCCCCACAGACCGAGACGACCTAGTGGTAGTGCACGTGGCTCTGGCGGCGGTGCGTAGCGACAGTTTCCGGCCAACTTTTTTCAGGCAGTTTGTTTATTTTTATTTCCTGAACGTACTGATATTATTGTTTTAGTATTTCAGGCTTCGCAGAGAAAGTTGGACAATTCTGCCCTTGGTGGGTTCGACTGTCGAAACTGCAAAACATTTATTGAATTACTTTATGCCATAAATTGAGGCCCTAAAGCAGTAAATTCGCATCTCTTGAAATTTACGGATTCAGACAAGTCTGCTCTGGTAAATTGGCTAATCATCTTTTAAATTTCAACACTAGCACGTCATCGCGTGGGGTGACAACAGGATTGGGGTTACCATGTGAGGTAACCATTGCTTGTGCTGGATATTAGGAACTACTTGCTTTTCATTGTTACTTGTTTGAAATTTGTTCATTTGATAAATCTGCAGTATATTATCTTTTGTAATATATCGTGAGTGAAACTGTTTTTGGTTGACATATATCTTGTTGACTGTTAAGTTATTAGAATACCTAGACCTTACCTGTTTGAAAATTCCTTTGATTTAAGATCGTGAATCTTACGAAATTCTGGGAATCTAAAACGGTGTATAACTACGAACCTAGGTCTACTTTGTGTGATTTAATTGTGACCTTGTATTTTTGATTAAAAATGACAACGCACAATTTTGATTTGGGAACTTTTAATGGAAAATGTGATTTTTCTATTTGGCAAT